CTGCAGAGAGAGATACTTAAATACTAACTCTTCACAAATTTTAGACTAGCCAGCCAGAGCTTTAGATTCCCTCAAACTATGTATGGTAAAATTTCAACAAGGTATGTGCCTTTACATAGTTTAAAATACCTCTTCCTCAGCCCTCTTCTGATGTAAGAGAATAGTGCTGAAGCATGAGTTAGGCCCCACGTTCTTATTGATATGAGAGGATTGGTCTTTTCAGGTCAAGGGCAGACCATGAGTAACTGCAGAGTCTCAGGCCTCAGCTAGCCATGTTTGTGTTCCATTGTTATGGCAGCAGATATGCCATCTTGCAGACAAGAACTTGGAGCTGGACTCCCTTTAAGTACTCAGAAGGATAGTCGTGAATTACTTCAGTTAGGCCTATGACCAGTCTTAGAAAGGACGAGCATATAAGACATATTCCTTAGAAGGTGAAAGACATGTAATTATAGATATGATCTCCAGTGGCATCTACTTCTCCAAATACCTGAGTTTCTTCCTACCACATAGTTCTCTTGTCTCTGTGAAGTTGGTCTGCACACATAATATCATAGAAAACTAAATTCAACTACCTGTCAGGCTAAAATGTATTCATTCTCAGTGTACTTGTTGTGACACTGACCCACAACTTTGGCATCTTTTCACTGCCCCCACTTCCAGTAGGGAAATTCCCTTGAGTGGCCAGCATATCCAGTGGTCCGCCCTTGGAGCACTGATTTGTAGACTTGAGTCCCAGAGCCATGTTAGAGTTAAGAAGGTGGAAACTACGATGGTTAAAACAGTGAGGATGGGAAGTTAGATACTGGAATGGTGGGCAGCCTCAGGTATGACTCCACAAACCAAAGGGAAAAGGAATTCGTCCCCTCCAGTTAGCTTCAAGAATAAACTTTTGATGAAGTGTGGTGAATATTTTCGAGATACTCTTCTGTGTGTTCCCAGGTACATCACACACAGGTGTGGGAATGAAATAAATATGGTTCATGTGCTGACAAGCCTGAACATATAGGCCAGCAGGGGGCAGCATCCAAACTCTGAAAAAAATAATTCCTCTTCAGGAGGGCACACCAGCTTCCCAAAGGCAGCAGAAGGCCTCAGCAACTCCAGAAAACAGAATCAAGAGTCTTAATAAGAAATAGGACCTTGGGACGGATTATTTTTTCTAGGTTACCTCCGAATTGATGCTGTCTGAAATACGGAGAGGAACAGCCCATTTATTAGTAAACTCTTTCCCTTTTAGCTAGCTTTGCTCTTAAACTCTATTCAAGCAATTTTTTAATCTTTATTCTACCAAGAGATGAAGGAAAGGGAAACATAATACATAGAAAAGAGGAAAGGAAATAATGGGATTTCTGGAGGCTTCACCAAGGATAATGCTATTTTTTCCTGCTTTATCAGGAGATTCAACTTTTACTATAAGCGTGTCTCATATACAAGTTCAAGGTGTCAAGGATACATTTTTCACAATCAGTTGTACCTTTGGAATTCTCATTTTCAAAAGTAGAGGTCTGAAATAGTTCATTTCAATGATATCTAGACTCTAAAACATGCTAACAAAAAGTAAGAATCATGTACCTATGCCTAAAAGGCGCAGAGAGAGCTAAACTTCCTCCCTTTTATCTCTAGTCGAATTCCTGGATATTGGGGTATTAACTTGTGCTGTTGTTATCTTTAAAAATGACTCATCCATCTTGAAGGTACAAGCGATAAATTTTCATAGAGGAAAGCACTAATCACTCTTACAGGGTGTGACTGACATCTATGATGATTTCTGAGTGATTAGTTGTCCTCATTAGGTATTGTTTAGCAGGTTAGAGATGCTAGCTGCCACAGAAACCCCAGAGCAGCATCATTCTGGAAAAGCCGCAGCTCCTTCTGAGGGAGGAAGAGACAAGATGGGCATTGGACTCAGAATGGGTACCCTGGGGAAAAGGAAGCCAAGATGGTTTTGGTGAAGAAAAAAGTAGCTCCCAAGCTTATTAGGGTAGTAGATACCAAGAGGCTCAAGGAGTTGTCCTGTGTAGACTCAGCCACGTAGGCGTGAGTGAGACCTTGAAAGCTCTCCTATCTACTTTTTTTCTGGGGCCTCTTCTGGAGGTGTGGTGCCCTTGGCAAACAAAGCAAAGAGTTTTTTTTCAAGGACAAAAATTAAGATTCCTTGGTGTCTGGGAGAAGACTGAGATCACTGTGTCTCCCCTGTTTCCGGCTGGATTGGCTTCTGCCTACTCCCACTTACTGTCTAACTAATGTGCAGTGCCTTGATGCTGGGAAAGCTCCAGTAGAAGGGAAAGATTCATCCGGGGTCCCCGTGGAACCAAGCGCAATGCTCTGAGGATCAAGTGTAGCAAGGGAGAGAGAAGGGAGGAGCAGAGACTGGGATGGAGAAGTGTAGGAGTGATCACCTCAAGTCTGGGAGCCAGACCCTCCACTGCAGCTCTTCAGTTCTTACTGTGGAGTTTCTGAACTCCTTTCAGCTAGTCCGAGAAACCCCAGCCTGGTTTAGATGACTTTACAATTAAAAAAAAAATCTTAAAGAGTGAGAGTGTTCTGGCTGGTTCACTAGCCCTACTTGGGGACATAGCTGTGGACATACTTCACTAAGAAGCTGTTTCTAAAATTTTAATGCAAGGAAATTAGAAACTAAGGAAATTCAAGACTTTGAGGGACATTTTTTAAAGGGGGAAGGTTTTGAAGGACACAAAGCCAAGAACACAAATATTCTCAAACATGTATGGGTTAGTGGCAGTTCAGGCTAAAATTC